ATAAATACAATGCAAACAGATGCATGATGATGCATGACATGGCAATAAGCAGTGCTAGGGTTGACCTAACACGATACTAGGTGGTACTGGCGAAGGGGGAAAACATCCGAGAAAGTATTCCTAGTGTTAGGCATTTATGGACAGCTGAAACGGAGGGGGACGGTTCCATGTTCGCTATGATAAAGGCACGTGACAGATGAATGGAGGGTGTATTCGAAATCGTCATGTTTTTTTAGCAACTTTCATATATAAAGTATTTTCATCCGAGATACAGTTTATTTTATATTAACTTTTAAAGTTTTAATCATTTTCTGCAATTGTTATTATTTAATTTAATTGAAAAACAAAATTATGATATCATCATGAGGTCAGCATGATGTCAGCTGTCAAAGTCTGTTGACTTGGTCAAACTGACGTGTGGGTCCCACTATCATTAACACAATTTAATTAAACATATACTATTAGCTAACCTAGTTAATTAGATTAAGTTAATTGGCTAATTAAGAAAAATCAGCCAAGTTAATTAATTCATAAATTAATTAATAAACTATTTATTTACGAAAATGTTAACGCCCATACGTGTGGGCGTTTGCACATTGCCCACACGCCTCCATCACTACTTATTTTGCCACGTATGAATAGATGACATCAGCAGAAATTTTTTTGGTTTTCGGCTTAAAAATGTTGTATCTCCTAAATAAAAAAGCGAACTAAAAATCCGTTTTCACCATTAAATCCGTCTCGACGAGATCTTCAAAACTAGACTCCATGTTGATATGTTTCGACGAACTTTTTTTGCCAGAAGTTGCCATGATGTTTACACTGCAGTTGCCATAGGGCTTAAACTAAAGTTGCCATGTGGCAATTTTAGTTTGTAGATCATGGTAATTTTAGTATTTTGATGATGGCAACTCCAGTACTTTGATCATGAAAATTATTTTTTGTATGAACCATGGCAATTTTACGTGCATGTATCATGGCAATATTAGTTTATGGTTCATGGCAAGTCTAGTTTCTTAATTCCCCGTTTTATAAATGTCAAAATTTACTTTTAAATGTAGAAGAAAATAACTGAAACATATCATGGCAACTTTAGTGTAAACATCATGGCAATTCATATGCAATAGACATGACAACTTTTAATCCAATTTTTTTTTTCATCAAAACATATCAACATGGGATCTAGTTTCGAAGATCTCATCGCGAGGTATTTAATGGTGAAAACAGATTTTCAATCGGGTTTTTCGTTTAAGAGATAAAACATTTTAAAAACTGAAAATCCAAAAAAAATCCCGCATGCATGCATGCGATGACGTGACAATCTGTTTACATTAAAAACGTGTGGTGCGTCTTCCTTCCTGCCACACGTGTGGCAGTTAGCGCGACCCTTTATTTATTATTTATGGTTTTTAGTTTATTTCGTTCCGGGGCGTGAGGCCCGTTCGTCAGTGGCACAGAGGCCTAGCGGGGCGGGCGCAACGGGCTACAGGTGCGGGCGCCGGGCGCCTGGGGAGGCCGCCCAGGGAGGGCGCGACCGCGGTGGCTGGCGCCGGCCGCGGCGGGCAGTAGCGGTGACGGGGTGGCCGGTGCGGGGGTAGGCGGAGGCGAGACAAGCGCGGAGGGCGCGAACACGGGCGCGACCATAGCGGCCTTGGGCGCGGCGAGGGGCAGCAGCAGCGCAACGGGCAGCACCGGAGCGGGGCGAGCGGAGCGCGGGCGCAACGTTCAAGCCAAGGGACGCGCGCGTGGGTGCGAGTGGCCAGCAGGCGTGGCCGGAGCAAACCGCAACAGCGGCGGGCGGTGACTGCGTCGGGGACAGAGGGTAAGGGGGAGACGGGGTTCTAACCCCCGTTGCCGGTGTACGCCGGCGAGGCTCGGTGGAGCCCTTGGGGAGGAGGTCGGGGACGAGCGACGGGCAACGACAAGCGGCTACGAGGTGGGCGGCGGTCTCGGGCGGCGACAGTTAGGGTTTGGTGGGGGTGGCTAAGAAGGCCAGGGGTGTGGGCCGGCTGGGCTGGGTCGTGGCCCAGTTTGGCCGGGGGTCCTTTTCCCTTATTTCCTTTTAGTTTTGATTTTTCTTCTTCTTATCTATTATGTTTCTTTTATATTTAATGTTTTATTTTATTTTAGGGCATTTAACTACTTTATTAAATGATGATATCACCACCACAATTAACTATGAATTATTTTTCATATTTAGAACATTTTAGTTTTGACATTTGAAAACTTTATTGTTTGGCTATATTTTGAATTTGAATTATGAATTTATTTGGACCAACGTGGGACTTAGCAACATTAAAAGTGCTGACATGGCAACATTAGCATGGAATTACTGTAGCTTAATTATTTGGGCGTTATAGTCGACTTGACGGGGAGCTCAGAAGAGCACGAGAGGATCTAGATCCAGATCCCGTAACACATCACTTGTTGCGGTGGGAGGATTGCAACAACAACTCATTTGCAAACACTAGTCTAGGTAATACGTTGCTTCCGAGCCATCTGATTAAAATCCGATCTGACAGCTAGGAAGTCGGCGGATGCAAGCGTTGTTGTCGGTCGGATAGTCTGAATCATTTCCCATTGAAATTGCTCCTTAAATAAAAATAGTCTGCATTATCTCCATCCTAAAAAATGTGTCTTACTTTTATCTAGATACGGATGTATCTAAGACAAGCTTTTTTTTTGGGTGGGGGGGGGGGGTATACCATTACTAGTTCATACTTGATGCAATTAAGAAGACTAGTGTGATTGGTACCCACACAGGAATTATTGAGACCCAAAAAGGGTTTATTTCATCCCTAATATTTTATTATACATGCTCTGCCGTCGTTGAGACGGGGAGGGGAGCGGAGGTTGCCTAGGCCGCCGCCATCACTGGAGCGTGCGCCGGCTTCGTCGGCGTCTTGCTACAATTGAATGTTTAACAAAGATGATTCTTAAAAGCGCAAAGTAATAACCTTTTGGTGGGTTTGGTGCACTAAAATATGCTGATGATAATGTCCTTTTGGTGGGTTTGGTGCACTAAAATATGCTGATGATAATGTTCTATGCATTAACCATGAGCTTGACCAAACTATTAACCAGAAACTGCTTTTGTACAGGTTTGAGCTCATGTCTGGTATCAAAATTAATTGCAATAAGAGGGAGATATTTTCTGTTCATGCTAACAATGTTATTATTGAGTTTTACGGTAATTTGCTTGGGTGTCATGTGGTATAGTTATCTTTAAAGTACCTTGGCGCCCTGTTAGCTTTTCCTGAGTTCGGTGAGTTGGGTTTCATGGAAGCTAAGATGATCGAAAGGTTGGGTGCATGCATGGGTTGGGAATTCTGCTTCCTCTAGTGGCAGATTATTTCTATTTAATTCCATCTGGTATTCCAACTTATGTAATGTCAATGTTCCTGCAATAAAACATCTCGGAATAAATTAGACAAACCTCGTAGACGTTTCTTTTGGCAGGGAGGAAGTTGTAAGAAAAAAATATCATATGGTGAAATGGCCTAGAGTATTTAGGTCGAAGAAGAAACGTAGGGGTTGTGGATTTAGAAAAGCAAAATAGTATACATACGACTAAGTGGTGGTGGAAAATTGAAGCGTAAAATGGTCTTTGGAGAAAACTTATTAAGGCTAAGTATTTCAGAAATTAGAACGTAGCATATGTGAAAGCTCGATTTAATGACTCCAAAAATAATTAACGGCTGTCTTTGGGCTATTGTTGTTTCAAGACGAATTCATCTGGTTTATTCAGAGTATATTACAATATTTAGTTACTCCCTGTGAATCATTTTTCTAATTTCAGAACCCATATTCATCTTCAGATTCTCTTTATTTTGCATGGTGAACATCTCGTGGTAGAGAAGAGCACGAGCAGTATGCAGGTTGATGTTAGCTTAAAGTTGCAAATATGCATGGTGAGAATATTCATTTCTAACCAGAAATGTGTAATGTCTGCACACTAATTTCTTCGGTATGTATTGGCGGTCTGTCAGTGTATGGTACCAAGGTGGAGGTGGTAAGAAATGATATCTAGTTGCAATCTGGGAATTGTATATTAGAATACTCTGTCTCACCATGTGGTTAAATCTGGTTGGAAAGAATTTTTGTAGCAACTTTATTGTGCAGAGTATTCTAATTAGAACAGAGTATTATAACCTACAATCATAAAATGTAGAAGAGAATACTCTGTTTTTCTTTATGGTTTATATGTGGCCTCTTCTCCATTCCAAAGAAAAAAATGCATATAACATACAATGTGCAGAAAAGAAATCCCGTGGCAATGTAAAGGGCTTACGTTTCTCTCAATAAAATGAGTATTAGCAAAAACAAAAGGTCTATATAATATCAATATAAGTTATCTTGACAACATTAATAACTGACTTTAGAAGAAAAAAATGGAATCAATATCTCTTGAATTTGAATGCCAAACAGAAAAACGATGGTATATGTATTGGGATCTCTGCTACATTTTGTGACTATACAAATTGAAGTAACTATATAACTTGGATATAGAAATCTCAGAAACAGAGCCATCCTTTATGCGGTTGGATCAGAGAGCATCACAAACATGATCATTACTAATCAGATCATGATAAATTATTAAACACCCACATAACCTGGCAGTTACCCCATGCCATAGGCTTGGAATTACTACAATTCAATACCCAAATCCATCAATGCATGTTTTTTTTTGTTGAGAAACACAGTACAAAAGTAGACACTCATGATATACATGCATGTACACCACCTCCATGAGCGCACACACACACCCTACACCTATGAGCACCTCCAAGAGACCGAGGCCGGCAAATCTTGAAATTGACAAAGTCGCTGCAGGCACCTCGTATTTGGTGGGGACATCGTCTCCCACTGAACGCACATCGTCGGAATACCTGAAATTAATCCAGGAATAGGAGAGCATCCATGTCAAGTCTGGGACTTGAACCTGGGTGGGTTGGTTCCACCACAAAAAACCTAACCATCTGATTACTACTAATACACTCCTACATCACACAGCAACAGCCAACAGAGACCTGGTTGCTTGATTTTGTCAATTCGTCTTGGCAGTCTTCAACACACCTTAACTTGAGCCATGAGATAAAAAACAAATATAAGCACAAGAAATTAAGAGAATATATTCTGTTTCTTATATTGAGATGAACTTCTAATCATACTAAAAAAGTTGGTGATGGCAGGCACACTACCCCACCGGCAACTACAGCAAAAGGTTCCTTCGGGTGGATAGATTGTCTGGCAGGGATTGCATCTTGCCAAATTGGAGATGGTAAAAACAACCTTACTCTGGAATGACATATGGAGGTATGAAACAACGATATTCTATGCAGAAACTACCCTCAGCTAATTGGAGATGTTGCCATTGCACCATTTGTGTTATTCCAGAATACCCACCGTAAAGGCTGGAGTTTTGCAGGGACATAGAAGGAATCATCCTAAATATAATAGCACATTGTTGATTTTGGCATTGTCATCAGAATGTTGAAAACAGGACCCAACAAAGAAATTTGAGTCCTCCAGTATGGAGAAGCTCAAATTTGTGTTGTGGTTTTCATCAAATTTGAGTCCTCCAGCATGAATTTGATGGTATTTTCATCAGAATTATTCCCTCGTTCCAAAATAAGTGTCGTGGTTTTAGTTGATATTTGGACTAAAACCACAACACTTGAGGGAGTAACAGTTGACCAAAAGATTCGTTTATCCAATACCTTGGTGATCATTACCACTACCATCATAATTTTGATTTCATTTGTATCAATTTAAATGCAGAACGTGGTATGTAAGGCAACTTCACTTCAACTTACAAGATCTAACTGAACCAGGTCGAAAACAGGAACCAACAAAGGAAGTTGAGTCCTCCAGTATTGAGAAGCTTAGTACAAAGACCGAAAAAAGTACCCCCTCTGTAAACTAATATAGGATCTAAAAGACCTTATATTAGTTTACAGAGGGATTAACAGCTACCACATACTACTATGTTCTGAAATCTGAATGATAGGGAAAATAAATAGATACGTGAGATGCAAATACCTGGTGAGGCCAGAAAAACTTTGGGAACTCGGTGGGAACAAAGGGATGGAGAAGACGGGACTTTCGCCTAACCATGTCATCATCTTCACCCCCGAGGTCTTCCTCTCCTTCAATGTACTGATGAATCTTCACATGCTTAGTAATAGTATCAACAGCAATCACCGAAACCTTGTCAATTGCACGCTCCCCTTTCTCGGGCAATAGAAAGTATAGCTCATTTGACTTGGCCGCACTCACAAGAGGAAACATCAGAGCATTGTATGAGAGAGAGGCATCGAAACCCCATATTTCATGAGATGTGATGACGAACGCCTCTTCCCACACCATGTCTTGTGTCCTCCAAGTATGGCAAGTGACAATAAAATCCGTACCAGGAAGCATTGGGCCAACTATCTCATGATCCTCCGGGGCAACATTAATGAACATGAGCTTACCGCCAGAATCGGTGGTGCACAAAGAGCAGTTCATATCATGCAAGCGGTGTAGATCTGCACCGCGACATCGGCCATGAATAGGCAGCCGATGGTGGGAGATTTTAGGCTTTTTTTCAGACACGTCACAGAACAGGGTGCCTCCACTGAAGTAACTAACCCAGCACAGATAGTTTTCGAAAGGGATCACTCTGTCGGTTCTCCAATGGATCAAGTCAGATAATTCATGGGCTTCGTACTTTATCTGCAGATTCCGCAGCAGCTCCCACTTGTTGGAGCGTAGAACGCACAGTTCAGCTTCCATCTTCGCCGGCAAACGGGTTTCACTTAGGCGCAGCTGCGCCACCACGAATTTTTCTTCAGGGCGGCACAAGATGCCAACAGAGCGAAGATGCAAAGAGCGCTGGGTGAACATGGGGATCCGGTGGAGCTGCAGCGTTGGCTGGTGCAGCGATCCTTGGCAGATGAAGTACTCCTGCGGCCAAATCAGGGACTCCTCATCCTTCCCCTTGACAGGGTTGGAGGTGAGCCTGAACAGGAGGAGGTTGCGATGCGCCGCCACAATATCGCACGAAGAGCCTGCCTTTGGGCCGCCCGGCCACTTCAGGTAGAAGCGGGAGATGGCCGGGGGGCCGACGACGCGGAAGGCGACGGTGAAGGGGCCGCCGTGGGAGCTGATGCCTTCGGCCCTGAAGGGCGCGGTCCGGTCGTCCGGGAAGGAAGAATCTTCGTCCCTGCGGAACACGAAGGGCTCGAGCATCATCCACTCCATGGGTACTGCGGCCATGGACGTGAAGATCGTTTGACTATTGAATCGGTAGGTTTCTTTACCCTTTTTTTGTTTTGAGGAAAGGTAGGTTTATTTACCTAGCAGACCTGGCGGGCCGGCACGCCTAGAAAAAAGCCTGGCACGGTACGGCCCATATCGGCCTTTACTTTTTCTGAAAGACAATATCAACCTCTATAAAAGGAGAGCAACTAGTTAACGAGCGCTTCTTTGGGAGCCTCGCAACGATCAGCGTCATTTGGCGCGCTCTCAGCCATTCGGTGTCGCGCTCTTGTCGCTTCCTTTGGATTTTGTTTTTTACCTTTCCGCACGCGTTTTCGGCTTTTTAACTAGGTTTTTTCGGATTTTTTCGACGTTTTGATTTTCCACCACTCATCCTTAACTTTTCGATCAAAAAAATTGAAAAAATATTTTTCGCGTAAAAATATGCGTTTTCTTTTCTTTTTCCTATCGCGAGAGTCACGATTTTGCTTCCGTAATAGGCACGGTTTTGCTTTCACAAGTGTCACAGCCGTGCCTCTCGGAAACTAAAAAAGCACGTTTTTTTTCTGCGAGAGTCACGGTTTGGCTTCCGCAAGAGGCGCGGTTGTGCTTTAGCGAGAGTCGCGGCCGTGCCTCTTGGGAACGAAAAAAACACATTTTTTCCTTTCGCGAGAGTCACGGTTTTGCTTTCACGAGAGTCACGGCCGCGCCTCTCGGAAACAGGAAAAAAACGCGTTTTTTATTTTTATTCTTTCGCGAGAGTCACGATTTTGCTTCCACGAGAGGCACGGTTATGCTTTCGCGAGAGTCACGGTCGTCCCTCCTCGGAAACCAAAAAAAACAGATTTTCTGTTTTTTTTCTTTCACAAGAGTAACGGTTTTGCTTTCGCGAGAGGCACGGTTGTGCTTTCGTGAGAGTCACGGTCGTGCCTCCTCGGAAACGAAAAAAATACATTTTCTCTTCTTTTTTTCCTTCCGCGAGAGTCATGGTTTTATTTCCGTGAGAGGCACGGTTGTGATTTCGTGAGAGGCAAGGGCGTGCCTCTTTTCGGAAAGGGAAAAAACTCGTGCTCCCGGTTTGGTTTCGTCCGGTTTTTTCGTTCGTTTTTTTTGTGAAAAAAAAGTTTGTCAAAACCTATCAACATGTGATCTTGTTTTGAAGATCTTAACGCAAGGAATCCAACGGTGAAAGCGATTCAAGATTTAGACGCACGATTTAAGAGATAAAACGTTTTGAATAAACGGATCTACGAAAAAAAGAAAAACTCTCAAGTTGCGACAAGTGGGAGGTTGGAGTGATCTTTGCAACGAGTACTCCTCAACTAATGATTTCGCTATAAAAGGGCTGGCTCAAAGATCGATCTGCCACGCAAACTAAAAGGGATGGGCCGACATGCCACGGCTGCGGGACGACATGCGTTAAACATGCCCATATAGCCCAAAAAGGCCAATGCACTATATAGAATTAAAATCACTAATTGAGGAGTACTTCTTTCAAAGATCACTCCCACCTCTTCAGAATGTGACAAATGGCGCGCTACATGTACGTCACTTGTCGCAGCCTGGAAGTTTTTCATATATGCGTTTATTCAAAATGTTTTATCTCTTAACCTGTGCATTCAAATTTCAAACTGTTTTCACCTTGGATTCCTCACGTATGGATCTTCAAAATCACTAATTGAGGAGTACTCCTTTCAAAGATCACTCCCACCTCTTTATAATGTGACAAGTGACACACCGCATGTACGTTACTTGTCGCAACCTGAAAGTTTTTCGTAGATGCGTTTATTTAAAATGTTTTATCTCTTAACCCGTGCATTCAAATTTCAAACCATTTTCACTTTGGATTCCTCACGTATGGATCTTCAAAAATAGATCCCATGATAGGTTTTGACGAACTTTCTTTCACGAAAAAATGGACGTGAAAAACAGGAAGAAAAAACCGAACCGGAAGCATTTTCCCCTTTTCGGAAGCTGTTTCCGAGAGGCAAGGCCGTGCCTCTCGCAGAAGCAAATCCATGCCTCTCCATGGAAGCAAAACCATGCATCTCATGCAAGAAACAAAACGCATTTTTTTCGTTTCGAGAGACACGCCCGTGCCTCTTGCGGGAGAAAAAACCGTGCCTCTCACAGAAGAAAAACAGAAAGAGAAAATGCATTTTTTGTTTAGGAGAGGCACAACCGTGCCTCTCGCGGAAGCAAAACCGTACCTCTCACAGAAAAAAAGAAGAGAAATGCGGTTTTTCGTTTCAGAGTGGCACGGCCGTGCCTCTCGTGGTAGCAAAACCATGTCTCTCACAGAAGAAACAAAGAAAGAGAAAACACATTTTTTTCGTTTCGAGAGGCACGACCATGCCTCTCGCGAAAGCAAAACCATGCCACTCACGAAAAAAAAGAAAAACGTGTTTTTTCGCGTTTTTGAGAGGCATGGTCGTGCTTCTCGCGGAACCAAAACCGTGTCTCTCTTGGAAAAAAGAGAGAAAACACGTTCTTTTTTGCTTCCGAGAGGCAGGGTCGTGCCTCTCGCAGAAGCAAAATCGTGCCTCTCACAAAAGCAAAAAAAACATGTTTTTTGCACATTTTTTTTATTTTTTCGAAAAGCTAAGATATTCCTGTGGAAAACCGAAAAATCAAAAAAAAGAAAAAATGTCAAAAAAGCCAAAAACACGTGCGAAAAAAAAACAAAATCTCAAAGGAGCGACAAGAGCACGACATGTGGCGGCGGCTGAGAGCGCGCCAAGTGATTGTTTAGAAGCCCCGAAGAAGTGCTCGTCAACTAGTTGCTCTCCTATAGAATGGCATGAAATTTTAGGTTCAAAGAAAAAGGCCAAAACTGCTCTAAAAAGATCTGAAAAAGAACAAACAATGCTAGAAGGGGCATGTTGGTTGGGCCGTAAGGCCTGGCTTTAAGGGTCGGTCGGCCCGACCCTTTTATTCGCATGGCATGCAAGCTTATACCCGTGAGTGCTATTTCTCGCATTAAGCGAGCCTGTAGGAAACTCTCGCGTCAAATGCTACAGTAACGGGCCAACCAATTAGAGCGCACTTAAAACAAACAACTTTGAGAAAAAAGGAGCGCGGAGAGGGGGTTGCCCAGGATTCAAACTTGCATCTCCTGGATGAGAAGCAGCGCAGTAAGCCAGTAGGCTATCACCGTGTTTGTGTTGACTAGTAGGGCACCATACTTATAGAAAAGAAGAGCTAGTTTCTCTCCTTTGTTGCTGTTTTTTCTCCGGGTTTTTTCATTTGTGTCTTCATTTTTTTTCATTTTCCTTTTTCCTTTGGTTTATTTTGTTTCTTTTTTGGTTTTTAATTTTTTGGTTTTCCTTTGTTTCTTTTTATTTTTCATTCTACATTCTTATATACATGATCAACATTTTTTTAAATACTTGTTCAACGTTTTTCAAATACTTTTTCAATATTTTCTTATAAATGATCAACCTTTTTTAAATACTTGATCAACATTTTTAAATACTCTTTCAACATTTTTTCAATACTTGTTCAACAGTTTTCAAACACCTGTTCAACATTTTTATATACATGAGCAACATTTTCTCAAATACTTGTTCAGTATTTTCAAAAGCCTTGTTCAATATTTTTCAAATAGTTGTTCAACATTTTTTTTCAAATACTTGTTCAAGAGTTTTGAAATACTTGTTCAACATATTTCAAAATCCTTGTTCAATATTTTTTAAATACTTGTTCAACATTTTTTTCAAATACTTGTTCAACATTTTTAAAATACTTTTTTTAAAAATTAAATAGTTGTTCAAAACTTTTAATGCTTATTCAACATTTGTAAATACTTGTTTAACATTTTCCAACTACTCATTTAATATTTTTGAATACTTATTCAATATTTTTCAAATACTTGTTCAACATTTTTTCAAAAGTATAAAGAAAAGTAAAAAAAAGAAAGCAAAGAACTAGAACAAAAAAAAAAACAGGCCGTTGCCTCCCGCGCGGCTGCGCGGCCCAACTGGGGCTACCCCGACGTGAGACTCCCTCCCTGTCTCGCATAATGCGAGAAATAGGGGCACCCGCTTGTATCGGGCCAAAAATTTGTGCCTAGTGGTCAACCTTAAAAGAACAGTACATATTACTAGGTTTGCTAGCAAGACCGGGAGTCAGGTTCGATCCAAAAATTTGAACCGATTCCAAATCGCATGGATGGCCTATTTATGCTGATTGATTTACGCACACGTCGTAAATAGTACTTTCACTAATTAGGAACCTCCTATTTGTCGCATTCTGCGACAGAATGCCGGCATACCGCACTGGGGCGATCGAGTGGGCCGACCCATTAGCAGCGCTCGTGCGGTAAAAATTGCGAAAAATGTAGCAACGATAAAAAATATTGTGCATGACTGGAGAATTGAATGCGGGACTTCCCGTTTAGCCCACTCGAGGCTAGCCATTGCACCACAGAAGCTTCTTAAGGAAAATATCTCAGCACAGGGAATAATACAAGCAATAAGCCACGATAGATCTAAACTTGTTTAAAGTTCGAATGCAGTTTGTTTTCAAAACCTGTATCTTTTTTTGAAAGTGAACAATTCCAAAACTGTGAATAATTATTTTAAAATGAGGAACATTTTTTGACCTGTGAACTAATTTTTGAAAAACAACAAAGTTTTTTGTAATGTTAAATAAATTTTTAGAAGACAAACATTTTTTAAATGTGTGAACATTTTTTAAAACAAGAACATTCATATAATTTTGAACGAAAATTGAAAAAGCAAATGTTTTTTGAAACTTGGAACAAAATCTGAAGAAAGCGAACATTTTTTGGATCTATGAACAAGTTTTGAGAAAGAGAACATTTTTTGTTACTCAGAACAAAATTTGGTAATGCGGACATTATTTCGAATTGTGAACATTTTCTGAAAATGCGAATAAGTTTTAAAACTCGAACATTTTTTGAATTAATGGAAACAAGTTTTTAAAATGTGAACAAAATTTTGAAAATCTGAATTTTTTTGAACTTTTTATCATTTATTTGGAAAACATGATCAAAA